GCTTTCTTTGATTTTGCATATTCTCACCCAGACAGTCTTGGCTAGATAGTGTTGAAATTTTGAAACATTGTCAATGCTGGAACATGCCTAAAAATGGATTTTGAAATATAGGGAATCGAGACACGCGTATGTGATTAAAAGTCCCGAAAGTTTGTTTACGTTGCTCTTTGATTGACAAGTCACTGTTGAATTGTTAAATGCAAATGAGTTGCTGGCCTCAGTTACGGTGCAGCGATGTGTAACTTCCTGTCCGCGACCCTGTTTAACTTACCTCAAATAATCAACCATCAACTAGTCTCGCAAACTACAAAAAAAAAGACAAGATCTAGACGCTTTCAGAATGCAAGTGGAATACAAAAAACATATAGTTGTAAATGATAAGTAAACTTTTTCACCCTTATCTCGCAACATGTCAACAACTTCTAGCCTGGCAGCTTCCAGTGGAGTACTGTTAAATATTTTTTATCGCGCATTTTTTTTCTCCGAAGGCATTATAAAACTGACTAATTATACATTTGTCGTTTCACTGTAACGATCACTGTGCTGATAGCATTGTGATGTAGTAGTGGATAAACACCATTCAGACCATTGCTGTGCTGTCATCGATAACTAACTTTTCAGTGGCAAAATACACAAACGTAAAATGCTGGGATTAATTAAAAATTAAAAAAAATACCCCTAGAATTACAGAAACATCGGCAACGAGATGCTGTTTTTAAACAACACTGAAAAATCACGCACTCTGCGATGCCATCTCGGTTACCTTAATCGAAAACCCCCTTGTCAGCTAGCATGCATCTGTAGCGATGTTGCAAAGTACGTTGTACGACCGTGCTCGGCGACCTCTGGTACTATGGCACTATGAGGTATTTCCAGAGGTCAGAGTTCGTTTTAATTTTTATCGACCCGTCTCGTCTGCTCGTAGTTGAATGAAACCTGTTTAGATTTACAATAGTTGTCTTCCATTTCGACTTTTTCTCACCGGCGTTTAAGCGATTGAGTACAAAAACTGTGAATAGCCGTTGTGTAGCAAAATATTACTACCCATTTCAACCTGGCCGTCTAACTTTGTACAGTCCATTTCACCGGAGATCGTGAAAAACTGCGTTATACAGAGTATTTTTTAAAGGTTTGAGGAAAGGTAAATTTAGACTCAACCCACCCAATGGGGATCGCCATGTTTATATAACTGTATGAATATCTCATCGGCTTTACGTAATCCATTGTGCCCCTCCCTAAGTGGAAAAGATAACACGACGCCATGACAGTTTTCACGCAAGGTTTTGACTCCGCGGACGATTTTACGTCTGTTTCCCTAGTATTGTAAATGTGGTTTTTTTATTTTTTTATCTGATGATTGAACATCAGCAAGTGTCGATGTATCATGGATTTTGGCATGTCGTCGGGATGCAATAGCCATTTTTGTGGACGATTAACCTCACTTTCATAAAACGGCCATTATCTCCGTTCGTGTTTTCTGGTTGGTCAGAGAGATTGAAAATTAATTAGCTCCCACAGTTTTTGTCAGTTTGTCTTGACATTTTCACACTACTAGTATTTTGAAAACGTTTCTACAAACAAAAGGACGTCTGGGCTTATTAGTCCCTGTTCGGACACAGTCCGAAAACGGGGACTTCTGTTTTGACCTCTGTGTGTCCGTGTGTGCGTGCATGTGTGCGTGCGTGCGTGCGTCTGTGCGTGCGTCCCGACCTGTATCTTAGAAATGCCTGGATCAATCACAATCAAACTTCACACATACATCATACATGATATCATACATATGCACGTCAATTTGTTTAATGATCTGATTCAAGATGGTAGAATGGCGGCCATTTTTATGCTAAACATCTTCAAAATCGAACATTTCCCCGGCTGTTTACAGATGGATTTTGTTCAAAGCTTGTATATACGTTGGACATTATAGGACCTTGATGCACATCATTTTGTTTTACGATCTGATTCAAGATGGCCGAATGGTGGCCATTTCTGTGTTAAAAAATCATAAAAATCAACCATTTTCTTGGCTGTTTACAGATGGATTTTGTTCAAACTTGGTATATACATTAGACATTATGAGACCTTGATGCAAATAATTTTGTTTTTCAGATAACGTTCAAAATGGCCGACAGGCGGCCATTTTGTATTAATTAATGTGGTTCTCGTGCCATATCTCCGACTTGTTTTGACTGATTATGTTCAAATTTTAAATATTCATTATACATCATGTCATAGATAGACAGATATATTGGTTTGACGATCCTATTCAAAATGGCCGAATGGTTGTCATTTTTGTACTAAAAAATATCATTTCTGGCATTTATGGATGGATTTCGTTCAAACTTGGTACATACATTAGACATTACGGGTTCCTGATGCACGTCATTTTATTTTTCAGATCAGATTCAAAATGGCTGTCTGGTGGCCATTTTGTTTTAATGAATGGGTTTCCAGACCCATATGTCTGACTTGTTTTGACTGATTATGTTCAAATTTTTAATATTCATTATACATCATGTCACAGATATACGGATATATTGGTTTGACAATCCTTTTCAAAGTGTGCTATTTTTGTGCTAAAAAAATCCTCGAATATCAAGCATTTCTTGCATTTATGGATGGATTTTGTTCAAACTTATAACACACATTAGACATTACAGGTTCCTGATGCATGTAATTTTATTTTTCAGATTGGATTCAAAATGGCTGACTGGCGGCCATTTTGTTTTAATGATTGGGCTTCTAGAGCCATATCTCATATATATATAATAAATGCTTTGACTGATTATATTCAAATTTTATATATTCATTATACATCATGTTATATATATATATATATATATACATGTATTCAAAATGGCTGATTTTGAATGCTGTTCCAGAGCAATATCTCTCAATATGGACAAGTGCTTGTTTGACGATCCGATACAAATGTAAATCATTTTAATCATATTCCTGACATGGTTATATTCCAGCTATATTACTATAAACATAACAATACATCTTAAATTTGATAACTAACAGGGACTGTGCCATGCATGGCTTGTTTTTAAAGCTTTGCATTCTCGGACAATGACATTCGAAGTGTGAAATACTGACCGGGATTGACTATACGGCACACATCCTACTTGACAACTTTGTAATATGAAAACAAAACATAGTAAATATACGCCTGGACGCCCATTTGTTAATAAACAACTGATAAACGTTGTGTGAAAGTTTCACTCAAAATAAACAAGAATTGTGCGAGCTATTTAGATTTGAACTTCCATGGTTAACTGAAAAACACAAGTGGAGATAATGGCTAATTTGCATAACCATTCACTCAGTAAGAAGTTTGCTAATGCTCATAATCAAAATGGCTGTAACAGTTCCAAATTTAAACCTATTATCGTTTTGTAAAAAGTTAAATATAGTGCATACCGGTAATATGGAGATTCCGTCATTACTTTTTTTTCACCATGTTTCTTTTTGATTATTTATGTACAGCCTTGCTAAATTTTGCTAAGCATTCAAAAGAGAGAATGTTTGTACCAGTTTTCTATATTTTAAAATCGTCTTTTGAGTATGTTCCACTATTCATAATGCTGTGAAATTTTAACAGTCTATAGCCAAGACTGTTAGAAAATTAAAAGCAAAAAAAAAGAAAATTCACTCCCAAGTGCCCACGAACCTGCATCTATACCTTAATACATTACATGTACACTGTTTAGTTTGTTTACACTGCCTGATTACTGATGTTGCATGCAAAAGTGGTCTATGAATGTGACAAATACTACTTTTTGCTGAATAATAAGTGTTTAAACAACCCTAATGTGACAGAAATTTGTTGTCATAATATAAAAACGATAAATCATATGCAAAGGTTATCACCTGATATTACTTATTCATAGACCTGGTTGATACTCATGGTGTCTTTGACTGTATTATTCAATCACCTTTTGTTCTTGGATAATACTCGCCGTGACTCACTCATATCAATCAGCCCTATCAGATATCAGGTGATAACCTCATAATACTAAACTGGACGATGGTCCAATAGTAAAAGGTAATAAATATGCCCTAGAAGAAGTCGAAAATCATTATGAATTAAGTATGCCGTTGGTGTACAGGTGCAAGTGAAAAAATGATTGTGCAGTAGATTTTGTATACCCAGAACAATAGACCTGTATGGTTTTGTAATACTATTTTTTGTTATCTCACTATAGTCACTATATCTATATCTCACTTTAGTTACATGGTACACTACGTGTTGTGATGAATCCATTGGTCAGTGTTACCCCATTAATTGGTGGTATGACTATTTACTTTCTAAATATGCCGGTAAGTAACTTGGACATTCTTACTGACATCCTATCGGATATGAACATACTTGTGAGTTAACAGTACTCTGAACAAAATATAAGTTTAAAAACAAACAGATATTTTTGTAATAGGCACACATTGTCTGCTGATGCCATCATAAACTATTTATATTGGTTAATCAATGAGGATTAAGCAGGCAATGTGATAATACAACCTTTTGAAGTTTCTCTTGTACTGGATAATTATAGAATTCGTAAATGTTCTGGTATTGATTAAAATAAAAAAAGTTTATAGCATTCATAGTTGCCAGTGTAGAACAGGTCAAAATCATTTGAAATTAGCCAACATGATCAACAAGTTGTAATTTGTGTTATTTTCTCTGTCAGGGCAATTAGTATTATATCGTGCATCATCTATGTTTTGTCTTTGTTTTTATCAGGAATTTGACTTCAATATGACCAATCTGGCTAATATTCTGGATATCCCAGGTGTGAGGTGAGTTGAGATTATATTATATTTTGATACCATGTGTTCAAATACACCATTATGATTTGTCAAAATGGCATGCACACATCAATGCATTCATGATCTACCATGTTATAAATTGTGGTAAAAGAATATTTTTCAGAATCGGTTATTTAGAATAATAACATAAATGACTTTTTATTTCATATTTTGTAGTGGTTCATTGAGGAACATCATTGAAGATCAGCTCAGTAATTTCTTAGTTTTACCAAACAGACTGGTAATACCTATGATTAAAAACTTGGAGGTGATCAGACTGAAATTCCCAATGCCACAGGTAGGTCTGGGATAGCTAACCAAACTGCAAATTTGTCACCTCATGAAAAGTAATATTGTTTTTGCAACCACTATTCAATGTCTGTGGACACTACTCTATTTCAGATGTTGCCCATTTTTATTTATTTTCCAGAAAAAAACAATAATACTTGTAAGCAAGTCGAGTAATGCATAAGGAATTCCATCAAAGTTATGTGCATTGTTGATGTTTCCTTATCTTCCATACAAACTGTCAACTATTTGTTTTATTTCAGGGTGTATTGCGTATCTGTGTTAAGGAGGCAAAAGATTTAATGAGAAAAGATATGGCTGTGTTTTCAAAAGGCTCATCAGATCCGTACTGCGTTCTACATGGTAAATACTATGACAAAATACCATGACTTTTGTTGGGTATGGAAGTTTGTGTCATGTGTGATGAGACCCAATGATTGGTTAATCTGGTGTTCTATTCTATTTATATGCAAAAGTTGGTAGACCCACTTTCGTAGCTCTGTTTGCCCTAGAGTTACCAATGCAAATGCCGACTGATAAATGCAGCAAACAGAACCAAATTCAATATAACTCTTGAACATTTCTTGAGACACAGGGTGACTGTACCTTAAACATCAACATCAAATTAAGCTTTAGCAGAGTATTGGTTTCAACATTATTTTGACATAATTTGCTGTGAAAATACTGAAAATATTACATGGCCAGATGAATAATTTGCATAATTCTTTCACAGCTCTTGATAATATTGTTTGTGCAAAAAATTACCCTGGAGGTTTTATTATTCAAATATGTATATTAAAATACCATAACATAAAACAATATAAACATTGTCAAAATGCAATGAGGTTATTCAAGTGATGCATCAAATGACACAAAACTCAACTTTATTGGGGACTATTTTATCTCATTTTCATATTTTTTGTTTGGTTATATAGTACATGGTCTTCCCTTGATCCAACCTGACACATCACTGATGAACATGCCTTAAAAGCCTTCAGAATATAAGTCACATATCACTGACTTGATAGTAATTTGCTGAAAGTGTCATTATACATCAGTTTTAATGGCTAGACTTAAATTTCTCATTTCCTTAGTTATGGCTTCATCAGTTTCGCTTTGGTTTGTTTCAGTTGGTGGCCAGAAATTCCG